TTTTTTAACTGGTCGCGCATATCGGCTAGACGACGAATCTTATTGAAATCTGGGGTTTGTAAGAGAAAACTCGTAAAGCAGCATTCTTGTCTGTCAATAATAATACCAAAGAGAAAGTCGGACACATATTTTGCCACAAACTTGGAATTCTTCGAAAATGACGAAGTTTTCAAGGTGGCGTTCCAAAGTTATCAGCTATCGAGTTTTATGACTTTCTTTTTTGAAGTGAGTACTGACAATACAGTAATTGAGCCGCTCTGAAGGTTTTATGACTTCTTATCTTCACTCGAACTGATTCTTTTCTTTCAGATCCCAATAATTATCAGGCCGTTATGTGCTCATGACTCGGTAAAATTTTTTCTCAGAGCCATACTCATATTTGTTTACTAGAATCAAAACTAGCACAATGCTTCAAACAGGTTTTGGCAAAAATGCAGCTGTACTTATTCTTCCCATTCTCTAACTCAAAAACTGACCCGGTAGCTCAAGGATGCTTAAGTGGATTTTGGAATTATCCAAAGCTCAGCTTTCATTTTTGAATTTCTGATTTTTATTTGGCAATGATTGGAGCTGGCTACAATATTAATTGCTGCGATATTTTTTCAGAACTAATTCACCTAGTTACTGCAGTGATATAGCTCAGACATACTGTATGCGAAGCGTCCTTGTCTGGATGTTATGTTTGACGCAGTAGGCCAATCGTCTTATCATAAGGGGCTGTACAATGGGTAAAAAATGAATTCTCTCTGATTAGATATTTAAGCTACGATGGGCGTCACCTGCATGGTTATCGCAAAACAATTCAACACATGGCATCTACCGTAACCCGTAGTAGTGGTTGTAAGTAGAGGTCTCAACAACTGTAACCAGAGCAGCTTCAGTTTTGGAGTTTTGCACGTGGTGTTCCGATTCCAAGAATAGAGCTCTCAAACAAATCCTTGTGCATGCGTCACCATATTGGTTTCACCTCGAACTTTTTATGGGCTAAGAAGATTTAGATTCAAAGCCATCAACCCTTTAAAACTCAATGCTTCTTTACAAAGGTTGGAAGATAAATTACCGTTGGTAATTACTAACAGATGTGAGTGCGTGGCCAAGATCAAGTCTTTCATTTAGAAAAATTCCGGTTTCTGCCTCTTTCCCCCGAGTAATCCAAGATTTCCAAAAGTATCTTTAAAAACAAGGTTTCTCCTCTTCCCTCCCCCCCCCCCCTCCTCCCTTCCCCTTCAAAAGAAATTTATCTGGAAGGGCCTCTAGGCTGATGGCAGTCATGCAATTATAAGAAGTGGGAAAAATCTAGATCAAGCCTGTCTTGCCGATTCTGCAATTTTCTCTTTGCAAGATAGGAAACCCTATTCTTCAATCATCTTACAATACAATGACACTTTTTCCCCCTTATGAATCACAAGATCAAATGTCTGGCAAGACAAGGAGTTCACCTACCGCCCCATGGTGTTTGGTATTAGATCACGCATTCCAGGGAAGTGTTGTCAGAGTATTGTATTCCTATCTCTAGAAAGCTTAGAGGTGCTAGAGGAATCAATGGGAGAAAACCAATTCGGTTTAGAGCTGTAGCTGGGTAGCTTTTCTTCTAGTTATATCGCTACCAGCCATTTATGAACTGTGACTTCTGACTAAGGATTAGCTTAATAAAACACGATATGAAGTTTTCTTTTGATCAGCGAAGGAAGTCTGTAAATTTTCACACAAAAACACAAAATCAAAGAACAATGACTTACTTTAAACTACGATTGTTCTAATAATTCACTTGAAGGAGCTCTTCATGTACGAGAGATTGAAATTGTCTGAAAATTCCTGGATGAATCTTACCTCACCATAGGAAGCCATACAGTCAAAGTTTTTTCTGCAACCACTATAATTAGAGCAGCTTTCTCGACCTGAATCATATTGCATTTGATACCAGAGTGTCATTAGAATTACGAGCATATAGCATGGACCAAATGTCAGCATTTGTGCTCGAACATTTCCTCTTCTTCTTTAATCTCTTTTGACATTTATCATGATTGAATGAAATTCAATCTGATCATTGAAGGGATTAGATATTATTACTGTATTTGCGTTGTGTGGATTACTTTTCTTGAACCTTATTCCTTTTGTAAAGTTTAAGTCACGTTGCTCTGATTTTTAGCCTTTTGCTGCAAGAGTTATGACATTTTCATAGGAGACTGCAGATACTTCAGTGCTTGAGAGACAAAGTCTTATACATCGGTAGCGCCTTATCGCTTAATCAAGGCTTTTTTAACAAAGAATCTTGACAGCAAGGCGAAAACTAGCAGTTCATCTCCTACTAATTCCATAAAGATAAAGTGACACAATTTTTTTCTTTTTCCCAACCCTTTTCCCTTGTCATTCCCCTGTCGGAAGTTTTTGCGAGTTCACTATGAATTCAAATCCATCTGTCCCTCGGACAACTGGCATCACACTGAATGTTCTCAAGCAAATTGGACACATTTTTGGAGTTTTCACACTTACGTGCTATCCTATGTAGAGGATATCCCACTCGCTATATACGAGATGAACTAATCTGACTTCCCTTCATAATACTGTTGCCCAAGCTTTGTGAAGCCGAAGTTCTGTCTACAGAATAAAGGTAGCCAAAGCAACAGTCTGTTCAAGTTTAACTTCAATTCATTTCTCTCTTTCTTTCTCTGTCTCTCACTCTCTCTCTCTCCCCTTTGAAAATATTTCTATACAGGTCCACGTAGAACTCTGGTGCTCGACAAAGTCTAATGTACAGAACACTCAACTCCCTCGGTGTTGATTTGTGAGCAGCGGAACATCTGCGACAATAGTTAAAGGTTTTGGAGCGGAAAAACCTATCAAAATTATGTTGTAACAGTCCAGGTGATTCGAGTAATGTGATGTGGCCCGCTCAATTATAGGTAGTTTGAAAACAAGTCAACTTGTTCATTTATTATTGCGCATAAGGTGAAGGTTTTTGTAAAAGCCGCGCAACCTTGATATTTTAATATTCATTTTGGAATTCGCTGAAGAGTTAAAATTACTAAGCAATATAGCGACGACACTGACTTCCCGTTTTCACTTTACTACATGCGTATGCGCAGCTAAACCGTTTCTAATTCACATTTCAGCCATAAGATCCGCTTTTTGCTCACAACCTAGAAATCATGACTGCTCCATTTTAAGCTGTGCTCTGTCTTTAGCAACCTTTCCTTTCTGTTAAGTATTAATCCTATATCCTCAAGACGTCATGTAAGCTTGGATTGACGTGCGTTCTTGAAGTGATGCTTTCACTGTTACATCTGCGGATTTGGCTATCGGGAAAGATCAGTCCCGGCACAGGGATGGTCTGGGTTTCTAAGGTTCCTTTTTTGACTCCAGCTGAGTGCATTATTCGAGTATGGACATCCTTCTCAAAACGTGATGCTTGATATTACTAGATTCAAAAAACAGAAGAGAGGAGCTTTGAGTTTGTATCGCTCTGTGTTAGACAGCGAATGGGGGATGGATTTATGTAGAGGGGAAATCTGTGAGGCGAAGTTGACACTTTCACGAAAAAATTGGGGTGGCACGTGTCGTTCCATATTGGAGAAAAGTTTGTCACGTTCTAAACGCTGCGCGAAAATTTTGGAATTTGAATTTCGCGCTTTGAGCGAAGTCATGTTCATGTCAATTTTGAAATGAGTTGTTCGTAGGTGTTGATGCTTGGGGGGGGGGGGGGGGTAAGCATAGGCAAATTCCACCTTCTGCTGGGTCCTAATCAGAGTCCGGCACAGATATGGAAACGAGCTGGACTTGTTTTTAGGGCGAAAAAGCAAAGGGGATGTCATTTTTGTAGCGAAAAAGACGCAAAAAATTGCGACTTTTTTTGGTCGACGTTTCGTTTTCTCATGGTTTTTTACAGATATGGTTTGGGGTCAAGGGGGACTTCGTTTCCAAAAAGCCTAGATACGGACTCATGCCGGGCCGTGATCCTTTTTTTACGCATCTAACGTATTTACTACATTTTTCTCTTCATTAAGGACCTACCACTCCTGAATATAGCCTGAGCGAGAGTTGAAAAGAACTGAAGCACATTTCCATCAAAATTTGTTTCATAGAGCATTGTAAAAATTTCGACAAGGTGCGACCAAGTTAATGAAAAAATGGTGCCTCCTACTTATCAAGCAAGAAATTAACAAAACTTTCCTCAAACCTTGGATGCTATATGAAGCAGACATCGGGAACCATGGCTTTTGCAAAAAATTGATACTCGGCAAAAAAGTTTTTAACGGAGATTTTGAAAAGCAGAACGAGTCGGAGCTGCGATAGCAAAAGAAAATGAAGCTGGAAGTACTTTACAGTTGAGGATATAATTTGAAAGGCTTCATTTTGATCATCGTAGTCGTAATATCGATACAAACTTTCCGCATATATCGTACTTTCACGGTAATTTGTAAATCAAATACCCGTCGCTATTTGCCAGTTCCTTCAAAGTGTATTCCAAACCACCGGGATTTCTTTGTTTTGTGGGTATATATGTTGGATTACTGTAATCTGCCGAAATACGGTGACTCTTCACAATAGTCACACATTAGAAAGCACGTCAGATTAAATACGACTAATGTACTCTTGGAAAGTACGTCAGTACGATAGCAGATTTTTTTAGTCAGTTAGTATGAATCTGTATCAATTTTTGGAAAATATTCACTCTGAAGAAAGACTGGACCATAATATGGCGATAAACTTTCATTTTTCTGCCAAGTCGGGGCAATATTGTTTTTTAGACTTAGGAGCTAAATCGGTTAGTAACAAGAAATCAATGGAAAAAAGCGTCTGTGACATTTCTTATCAAGCCAATATAAAGCGGCTATAGCTTGTTTACTTTCAAAGAGATTCACAAGCGCTTCTACCATATTTCAACTCCTTATGCCTTCAGTGATCTACATTCATTTCCGAAGTACGGTGCAAAGCTAGTTCTGTTCGTTGTTATTTCCTTTCATTCGAGAAATTACCGTTCTCTCATGCATCTCTTTCAGCCAAGCTGTCTGCTCCAGAAGACTCGGCGCGGGCTGCTTCACGGCCTCGAAACCGTTCTTTGAAAGTAAGTTTTTGTGCTTATGTCTAAAACCACGGCTGTTTTTTACTTTTCCGTACATAAACTCTATATTTAGAAAACAGCAGCGGTGCAGGATGACGAGCCGTCCCTGCTCGACGCAGGTCGGCGAGCTGCCTCCTTTGACACTAGCCAAGCGTCGGCTGTCAAGCCATCACCATGTAAGTTTGGACCAACATAATTCTTCCTAAAGAAAACTAGGCGTCGCACCGCCAACTCACAATAATCCAGTGCTTACTAGACCTTGCACGCTTGGCTTGCTTTGCATCCTTGTCTGCCTCTCACTAACAGCACTGGGCGCACAATCGTAGTGTTATGTCTCTAAAATACTCTCGATAACACGGAAATGTCTGCCAGCTTGTCCGCTTTCAGCGTTACGGCCGGCTTCGTTCGACTCGCGAATGTCGGCGTTCTCGCCGGTGGATGTTCCGCGACTACTCGTCCATTCACCGGCTTCTCCGTTGGCCGTCGAACCACCTCCTCACGCCACCGACAGTCGCCTGTTAACGGTGCCTTCTCCGGACTATCGCAAGATGTCTTGTGAGTACTAACCATCATCCCTTCTGCCTTAGCAGACAATCGCTAACTTGTGTTTCTATTACCGTGATTTCCTTTACACCTATAAAGTATTAGCTTGGTAAGGAAGTTTTCGGACATTCCAGGCTGAACCTGCTATCTTCTGTAAAATGTACGTATATGATGGATTACTGCAATCCTACACTGGCGGGCATGTAGCTGATGTCTGATTAAGCGAGAGGGATCTAGGATCGATGGGGGCGAAGTTTGCCACTTTTCGATCAACTCGTTTTTCTTGTTATTTGAGCTTGGAATCCGTGCAACCTGCGCGTATAAGTATGTAAAAGTATGTAACTGTATGTCTACTATAGACTATAGCATAGGAGAGTATCATAACGTGGAAGTTGGAGAGCTGCGTTTGTTCAAATCCTATGCTTTCAAATCTTTGCCTTCATCTCCAAAGTGAACTTCAATAGTGCTCACATTAAGCATAATCTTATAGAGTTTGCTTTCCTCTATTTAATAGTTTGCAGCATGCTCCTAATGCTCACATTGAAACAGAATTTACGCAATGTCCGACAATTTGCTTATCAAGCCTATAGACGCCACTCACTTCGTGAACGCTAACCGTAACCGGATATGCGCGAAACAAAATGTACTCAATGAAGACAACGAACAACTAGTCGATCTTTACTTTTTTATTTGCACGAAATCTGGATAAGCAACTTATAGATTCTCCTAAACTTGTATGTTTGAAAGGAAGCCAGCAAATTTTTTTGGTATATCCTTCTTCAGAATGCCTTTTGTAGGTGATTCGCCTAAGGCAAGCGACTATATCACTATGGGTCTCGCGCCGGCGATACTTGGCCAGTTGACGGCGATCGCTTCGACGATGATCACGCCAAGCACGGTGGAAGAAGTGAAGCCATCGGTTCAGGTAAGGCATAGTCAGACGAAGCTGCTCCAGCAGAAATTCAACCTTCTTTCAAAGATTATCTGTCATAGTGCAAAGCGGAAATGGCAAAAGAACTTTCTCCGGGGCCAGAACTTATATCCGGTAGAAAATCTAGCACCTAGATGAAGATTTCAAAGGCTAACGTCGATTTTAGAGTTGAGCTCGGCATGCCACCTTAGAGTGGCGCGCGGAACTTGTAAGCTCGTCCACGTAGGTGTAGAGGGAGCCGAGGGTAGAAGAGCGGGCGCATCTGAGGCTTCAGGAGCTGCATATTCCGAGTGGAATTGATGATTTGCTTTAGTGGGGGCATCTGAGACGAGCCGATCCAGCCGTACAGCATCTAAGGTGATTCTCAGCGCAAGAATTCAAAATTGTGCTCCAGATAAACAAGCAGCTTGTTTACACTCCAAATTTGGTAGGTGTAATGCGGAACAGTAACGATGTGCAAAAACGGAAATTTGTCTGAATAGGTGGCAACTTTTTTTCTCTTTGAGTGACAGAGACAACAACAAGTTGTCATTGTTCTCCTTCTTGCATAATTTTCTTCCTAAATTTTTTACGTAAGTGTTTTTTAGCTCAAGTCCCGCGAAACGAAGTGACATAGTCACCCGTATCTCGATGCTGCGGTCTCAGATTTTAGGGAGCTAAAAGAATATACAAATATGGAAAGTTAAGAAACCTCCAGCCATTTAATGCCGACATGCTCCTGCCAAAAGATTTTACGGAGTTAAAACAAGGTACACTTGGTCTTAGACAGTTGGACTCTGAAACCTTGGCCTATGCGTATCTTCTGACAGGAAACAAGAGTAACAAGTTGTTTTGGGCCAAAACGGCGGCGATGCGAAATATACATTCCTCTCGGGGGTCTCGGAAAAAGTCCTAGGTTTGCAGGGTGTTTGTTGGTTCCATGAGACTTTACGCGGATTTAGCAAATGCGATAACATAGGTAAGGATCTTACTCCACTATTTGCTTACCTAAAAGCCGCAGGCTCGCCTATGGCATCGACAGATCAGAAGCACGGGAAAGCTGGTTTTGAAACATGATGGTTTATCCGAATTGGCCTGAATCTCCATGTTAACCGAGGGCCTATGCCTACCACCCGCAATTTGTGAAAAAAAAACCGCACAGTTGCCCGATTTATGTGACATCACTGCAGCGTGACCATATCTTGTGGATGAATTCTTAGTCCATGGACACCATTCGACTCAGCTCGGCGCGGCATCTTCTGATGGTTACCATGTGCTTATTGAATGCACTCACTGGGCAATCGACCGTAACAGAAATCTGAAACGATTCGATGAATCTGGCTTCCTCTTTTTCAAGCGGACACTTCTATATATAGAAGACTAGCGACCCAGCGCCGTGCTGAGTGGAATCGTGCCCTTGGATTAAGAATTTGTCCACTCTGAAGCGAGATATGGCCACGCAACGGTGTGTCTAAATCGAGCGACTGTGCGTTTTTCAAAATAAATTACAAGCGGTATTGTATGGGCCAAACCTAAGCCAAGGCCGCACAAGTTTCGAACAGCATAACAGAAAAAAATTTAAATAGCTTTTAAGAGTAAGATAACCCAACTTTGATCACTCATTCATCTTTCGCTGTTCTCACTTGTTCTCATTGTGATCTGCATTTTCAGAGTATGGACTGCACATCTTCCCTTGAGCCTCTTACCTCTTCATCCCTCGATCTCCCTTTATCCTCGGGCATATGTCAGGAACAGGTAAGAATACCGCTATGACAAATGCTCTAGAAAAATTTGTTGTCTGTCCAGAAGAGAGATGCATAAGAGATTTCAGGTTCAGCTACCTCAGGCATCGGCCGAGTTGCTCGCTCAAATGCCGGCTAAGTCCGTAATACAAGACGACATCCGTAGCGGTAACGGACGGTTTCAGCTGGTTCGAAAACGTGGTCGAAGCGAAGTTTGGAATCTGTTTGGGCAGGTGTGTTAGAGAGGTCAAGAAAATTCGGATATAGCAAGAAAGAATACTGCTAGAGAGACACATTCACCCAGTTTTTTCTTAGCTCTTAGTAACAATTAGCGCCAAGAAACCAGAATATTGTTGGAGAAAAGTGAGACATGCTGGTGTGGATTAGCATTAAAAGAGTGTAGAAGATTGTTTTGTTTTAAGAAATATGGTCTTGATTATCTTGGCCTACACATCAAAAGGTGATGGGTAGACTAAATGGTATCTGTTGTCTTGCGCTCTCTGTGACTCAAATTTTGTCAAATTTTTGAAAGCTAAATATACCTTGCCATATAAAGCGTTGCATTGAATAATAACCAATTATTGCTTTCCTTAGCCTTGTAATTCCAGGTGCTGGATACACTTACAAACGTCCGTCTGCCCTATGTTGCGTGTTATGCCTGCAAGGTTAGCCAGCTTATAGTAGTTTGTTCATCATTTTATGTTTCAATTAGCAAGTACTTAGTTAAAGAACTGCCATATGCAAACTCTAATCAGAACTATTTCGTTACTAAGGCTTACTAAAAAAGTTTATAAACTGTCTGACTTCCAGGAATTTTCCAAATTAAAAAAAATTCAGGCATGCTAGCAAGTTTGACTTCAGATCATCTTTGCCTGTGGCTTCAGAGTTTCTTTTTGCAAATCAAAGAAGTGCAGTTTACCCCTGCCATGATATCTCAAATTCTTTTTGTCACCCTTCTTGCAGATTCAAAAAGCGAGCCCATTTACTGCAAAAATACACATGTCGTGACACCAGACAGAAGCGCGAATTGCTACCTGCGATCCATCTACTTCGAAATATTTACGACCAGCTCATGCAGAAGGGGGGAGAGAGATGCTCTTCTTGACTTTGCGTGGAATCGCTTGTTACATCTTTGGTAATTATTTTACATTTTCGAGGCAAAGAGGCAAAATATAAATATATGGTGCGACGAACTAAAGGAGCATGTTAACTGACTTAATAGCAGTAGTGCGGGGGGTGTGGAAGATCCGAATGGGCAAAATTAACGTCTCTACTACATCTGCAGTGCAATGCATTTAATGTGGCAGTAAAGCAATTCCAGACGCTCCCAGTTTTCATGACATAAAGAAAATCGTCGACAATTTGGATCACTTAACACCTCCTATGACGAACGCCACTATTTTTGCACTAACTGCCCTCAAGGGGAAAAGATAGGTTCTAACCTTTGTCGTAGTAAAGACCCTCCCACACATGTCAAGGTTTCGCCTACGCATTTGTATACATCCTCCCACACCATTGACCAGACTTAAAACAGATGCTTTAACTGGCGGACCTAATGGAATCAAATTTCAAGGTATATACGTAGACTCTAATAGTTCAGTTGACGTGACTCTGAATGTACTTTCGCCCCATGACAACATGAAAGACCTGAATCTCAACTGTTCTTTCGTTTTTGATCTGCTGGAAGACAAGTAAAATCATGCATCAGTTCTGAAAGAGAATATATGAAATGCTGAATTACCTTATTTTAAATTTGATTTCTTAAGTCCACTCTGAAACTCATAATCGGTAAGGAAAGCTATCCAGTATCAAGTAAAAAATCTTCGCTCTTCGTCAAGCAAAAAAGATTTGTTTATAGTTTTCGTAACTGAAGCTGGGTGAAATTTTTTTGCTACTATCAAATTTATTTTAGATGAATTCATAGTATAACATAAACTACTTGTGAAGCAAAGTACAAGTATGTGTCATAGATGTAGTCAACAGTTATTCATTATAATAGAGGTGGTTCTTGATTTCTTTCCTCCAAATTCACTTGATAAGCTGGTCACTAATTGCTGATTTCTACTCATATTGCCTTGGAAACAAGTGAAATACAAAAAAGGCGCGGCTAAGTCAGCAAACTTGCAGCTTTTGGTTTTATGTAGATTGTTCACCTCGCTTCATGAACTACCTAATCATTGGAGATTTTTATTACGTCAAGATATGTGCTTTATGGAAATTATCAAAGGGATTTGTTTAAAAACTCGCACAAGAGTATGAGCTTGGAGTTTTGCACTTTTCACAAAATGGACATATATACCAAAAGATTTATGACCAATTGCAAAATCTAAATTTCTGAGTAAAGTAGTTAAAAGGATGCGAAGGGCATATTAAATCATCATTTTTGCATTTATGGGAAATTACCTTCTCGAATAGCCGTGGTTCTCTTTGGGACCCCAAACGACGATTTTGTCCGGTCGCTAACTGAGCTGGTGAAAATGCCCAGTTGCAGGTTTTTCCTAAAAAATATTCTGTTATTGATACCATGATTCAAAGGTACTCTTTGTATCTATGTTGGCTTCAACCTGTACCGCTCCTATATTTTTAGTTTAATGCACCAGAAGTAATGGCTTGCGTTAAATTACTTTTTCGTGGTCAAGTAGATTTGGACGGTTTTTGAAAAAAAATTTCAGGCTCAAACCATGTTTAAATTGCTTTCGAGTATTTTATGAATCTGGTGAGAGCCCTATTCGATAAAGTACAAACAATTTCTCACCCAAAAACGTTGAAAGAAAGGAAGATGTGATAAATTTGTTCTCCTTTTTCGCAATTAGGCAGAATCAGAAGGTACTTCAAAAAACAAAGACTCAAAAGTAGCGGTCATTTGAGCTCCTAGTAGAAATTCTACGTATCCGATGACCGCCTCATCCGGTGAAAGTTTGAGTTATTTGACCTGAGAAACATTGGAAGGCTAATACATATTAAAGGGTTTATTGCAAAAATCCAATGCTTGCAGCAACTTTCCTGCAAAGAATTTTTTTGTACGCTCCAGAATGTGGATTTTGCGAAAGGAAATCCCCGGAGAATTCCCAATGAATGGGCGATAACGTCAACGACTCGATTTTCAGATCATCTGCAGTGGGTTTTTCTCGACTCAAAATTCATGCCCACACACGCAAGCATGACGACTAATTGCCAGCCGTGAGCCGGCGCTTCTAACGACTCAGAACCAGGTCAATGACGTCAAGCCCGGCACATCGCGTCATGCCCGCGTCGTCGCCCCGGGGAAATAGAGCGCATGCTCTCTCACTTTTGACAATTAGCATTTGTAATGACCGAAAAAGATCCCCCACTCGTTCTCTTATTTAAACGAACCCGGAACTGCCATTGTCATGGGTGATGGTCACTTTACTTGTCAGATTTTCCGAGTTGCTATGGCGCCAGTTTTACTCATCATCAAGTTTATGGAAGATATTGCTTCAAACTTCTTTGCTATAAATTTCCTGCTAATTCATTGTTGGTTTAGCTCATCGCATGGCTGATGCAAAAGGAAACAGCAGTTAATGGTAGAAATGAGATTTCAGTTTGGAAAAGTGGCAAATAATAATTAAGTCAGTGTGATTCGTTCATTCACTCTTCATTCAATCTTCCTTCCCCTTCTCGCTCTCTCTCCCCCCCCCCCCCCTCCTCCCTCCTCACCCACTTTCTTGCTTCTTGTTGCTTCTCAGTTAGCTCAATAATAGGGTACAATTTCCTTTGTAGGCTAATTTCCGGATCTCGAACTTGCACAGTGCGGAGGAAGAATCCCTGCAAAATAAACCTAAATAATTGGCTGATTCTTGATTTTTTCTTGGTAATATGTAATATTGACCTAGATGCTTTCGTATGGAAACGTTCTAGCTCATACAAAATTGCTCTAAATTAGCGCTTTATGGAATAGATTCTTATTCATAGTACGTACTACCGAGCTACAAACAGAAAAAAAGTTTGCAAATTGCAAATTTTTTCGCCAATTCGTCGTTTGAAAACTGTCTGCTATAGTCATGTAATTATAGAAAAAATTAGATAAAAAACTCATTTAGCGTAATACTTAATTTTTTATAAATTCCTTTGCTTCTCGAGTTCGTGCTAATCGATGACTTGTTCAGCTCATCGCATGGTTGATGCACTAAAAAACAGCAGTTCAACGGTAGAAATGAGCTTTCGGATTACTTCATTACCTTAGTTTAAGGTCAGCAGGGTTTGACTGACGAAGGCTTCGAACGAAAGCCTCATTGTCGTTTGCTCAAATATCTTATCTCTTGACTATTCTGGAAGGATTACGTTGCATCTATGGAGATTATGCGCGCTTATCCAATGAACTTCTTGCTAGTCTTTTCGGAAACTACGTCTTCATGATAATCTTTGATGCAAAACAGACTATATAAACATGGACTCGTTCCCATCTCTCTCAAATTCTTTTTGAAGTGTGGCTATTCCACATCCTTCACTTGCTAAATAGATTTTTTGTATTTTTATCAATTTGTTGCTCTTTTCTGAGGGTTTCGCCGATCTGCCACTTTTGCGTGAGCCTCTTGATTTGGAAGGCTTTTTTACTTTTGCGTTAAGTACCAGTGATAGTCGTCCTTTTTCATAATTTCATGGAAAAAATTTGGTATTACGAGTTTAGAATGTCTTAGCGTGATTCCGTTCGACTCTGCTTGGCGCAGTATCAGTTTGACTTTCATGCTTTTTTCTGAATGCAAATTAAATTTTCAGGCATGATCGCTAATATTTGCAGTAGATAACTGCTTACTGTAATACTTGCTTCAGCAGGCAGTATTTTGCACAATCAATCACATCTTTAAATTGTTTCTCAGAAGTTTACCTTCAAATTGAATGTCATGCAGTTGGAAAGTGCAGATCTCAAAAATGGCTGTGCTCAACGTTGACAAATCTTAAATACAGTATATTTCCTTGAGTTATTTTTAGCAGTGTCCATTCTTTCATCGTCTAGGTCCATTCTATCATTGAATACTGTACACATACGGTACAAGTTTAACCAAATATTTCCAACCGCATTTAGACGCAGTTCATCATCTGTTATTCAAAAATATCACCAGCGCATAGCAATCATGATGAGATTTAACAATACATGAATTAGAACCAACGTGAAAGAAAACGTTTTTCACGTTTTCCACCATTTATCCAACCCTAGTCAAAACCTCTTTGACTATCATATTTCGTAAATTTGGCATTATGAGCATACTCTTTAGCTTTTCCTAGATCTCTTTGCACAGTTTTTTCCACAGTTTTTGGCTTTTGAGGTTACGCCATAATTCCTCCTTGAGCTTCTTCCATAGTTTCTTTTCTGTTGTTGACTAGGTACAGTGAATATGAAGTTTCGGCTCCGAATATTTATATGCTCCTGCTCGTAGCGAGAACTTAGATTCAAGTTGAACTGTATTTACGTTCAAGTACTTGGCTTTCAAGTCAAGCTATCGCATCCTAGTCATTGAAGGGAAGAAGAAGGAAACAATCTTTTGATTGAAAGAATTGTGACTTAATGTGATCAACTCATTCATGACTTTGAATTGCTCGTAAATTTTAGCGTGGATGATATCACTAGTTTTCACAACAATTTCCTGCAGAAGCACATGATATGAAGAGGAAGTTGTGATGGCTTTCTTATATACTTGTTTGAGCGTCATATTTACGTATACACTTTTCATGTGATTATTTGTATTGATGAAATTATCATGCAAGTAATTTGCTCGTCAGTGTGCAAGAAAAGACAAAAGGTTTGTGAAGAGGATAAAGCCCTGAGAGAGAAAAGCAGTAGAAGATTCATATTTTTTATTTCTAAATGCGTGGACAGGAATCCATTCATGCTATATAAATACAACACATTCAACTACAAATTTACAAAACTTGTAGTATTGGACTAATATGTTGCAACTCATGCATTCGTATGAATTACGAGCAAGCAAAAATAAAGCGATATGGAGAAATTATGAATTTTATGGCTGATAACAATAGAAACAACTCAGGAAAAGTTCGTTTCTATTTACCACTCACAAAAGGACGAAAAGGGAATAAAGAATTTTACAACTTTGTCCATAAATCTTTTCCCCAAATTAATCCGGACGCTTCCTTCTTACTGCGGAGTTCCGGAAACCGTCTAGATAGAACTCCGTCTAAGGGAAGGGAAAAACCGAAGTTATCAACTTTTTCTTATTAATAAGGCAATCATCAACCAATTTTTTAGTAGAGTTTGAGAAATTTGTTTCCTTTCAGAATAGCTTCGTTTTTCCTACATGTACGGCATTATCTTAGGTTCTGTACACGGACACTGGCGGCGGCACCGGCAACATGACCAGACATCGTTGTCCCATAGGCCTTAGCTACCGTTCCAGCGCCCATGGGTAGGTGTGACTTAGTCGAATTGTCGAATCAAGAGACAACGAGTATAAAACGCTATTCGAGCAGTTATTACAGCTCTTCGACGGAAACCGTTGAGGCGGGACAGCAGTCCTCATTCGAGTCAACCGTTTCTGGAATGCAACGCATCACTGAACCAAGACCTACGCTCTCCTTGACCATCAACGTGAGTCTCTTTTTCTTAAAACTCATAATTATTATGTTGTCATCTTGAACTGTAGGACTCAAAATAAAAAATAGGAAAGTCGTGGCTATACTTAGAAAATTTCATAAAAAGATATTTTTGTTGAACATTGAGTATGCGAGGATTTATTGTAGTCTGTTCAATCTTATGTGAATGCACACCAAGAAAGAGTTTAGATGAATGAGTTGAAGAGTCATTTCTCTATCTTTATTTCTTGCTTCTAAATCTGTACTTATTGTATTGTCGCTTTGAATTCTAGGAGTCAAGATGTAATTGTGGGGGTTGATTATTTTTTCTTTAACTTTATGCAAATGCCTACACAATGTAGCAAGAGTCTGTTAAAATGAGTTGAAATGTCAAGACATTCTTTTGTATCTATATTAGGTGGGTCCGAAAGTTTGTGCTGTTCTTTTCGACCTATCCTTGAATCATTCGGAATAAAGTTAGAAGAACACACCAAAAAGTTTATATGCAGAATTTCTTCCTCTTTCCAGACGTTTTTTGTTCGGATTGTTTCAATGTTCTTTCGAATAATCGCCACAATCTCCAACGCGTTTTTAGGTACTCTAGCTTTAGCTATTTTTTGAAATTTTCGCTGGAATGCTTTAATAACATTTGGATGGAATAAACAAAGTGCAGTACAACCAGTTTTTTGGCAACGATATCTGGCTTTTCAGTGTTTTAAAAACAAGTTTGCCAAATTCTGTCTTTACATTTACGAAGTCGTGAAATATACAAAAGCTTCAAAAACTATGAATTCTTCGCAAATTGAAACTTCTAAAAATTGATTATGATTAAACACCAGTTTTAAAAGACAAATGAGTTTCTACCGTAAAGACTGATTTTTTAAACTTTCGAGTGCAGCCTGGGACGCTTCACAAAACTAGAATTATGGCTTTTCCTCGAGGCCTTTACGAGTCAGAAATAAAAAAAACATCTCTCAAAAGGAAAAGAAGCTGCATCGAGTGACACCATAGCTGTTTGCCGTCTGGCGTTCTATGGGATTGAGATGCCTAAATATGAAATTTCATAGCAGTACATTGCATTTTGTTTACTCTGTCTAGTTGTTGTCAAAGTAGTTTCCAAAACAAAAGTCCGAAACAAAAATTTTGAAAAAACAGCAAAACTCAGGGTAGGTAAAAACCATGGGTTGAAGATTTGACGATTTTCTAAACGAACATCAAATTAATCAGAACAGGAACATTACTGGTTGAAAGAGGGGGGAATTCTGCATAGAATTCTCCTTAGAATGTTTGTCTATCTTTATTCTGAATGGTTTGAGGGTAGGTAAAAAACGGCGAGAACTTTGGGACCCACCTAATATTCCCCGCTCCTACCACCCCATTTTGTTGAGCTTCTCCGGCTTTTATTTTCGCTGTTTTCACATTTCGCGGTGAATTTACAAATTCAGCTCTATGCTTTTATTCTAATCCGCCCTATAGATCAAGTGAAAAATCTGTACTGACTCTTTCTCGTCGAATTTTTCCTGTTTTTCTGCAGATTTTCTATCTTATTGTGGACAGAGACTGTTCGAGTTTTTTTTTGCAAATCAACCTTTTGAATTAAAACGAATGGATATAATTTTGGAGCCTTTTCATTACCGTTTTTGGAAGGTGGAAACTGACTTTGTCATGATTTTGCTTTTTTAACTATAAAAAGTAAACATTGGCAGAAACTAAAAATCTGTTATAAACTTCTAGAAAACTTTTAGTGTCCTGTTATTGGCGGTACAACATCTGTTCCGAAGTACATTATCAATCTAGGTAGATTAATGAAGTAATTAAACATCGTGATACATACGTAAGCTCATCTCAATAAAAATTATCTTTTCGAGGGCAGCAAAAACTAGTACATAAATTATAGTTGGAATATCAAATCGCTTATGATTAGGTATTTTACAGCTCATACCTTGATTTGTGCAGTGTTTTTGTTTTCCCCAAACATTCAAGGCTTGCAAAATGATGACATCTCTTTTTCCTCAATTTTCCCACAAAAAGCGATTACGCAGGAGAATCGTGTGGTCATGTGAAAATCATGGATGTTGTTCAGCTATTTCTACAGGAAAGCGAATACCTAAACCCACGATTCTATTCCACCCACGTCAAAATGCACTCGAATTTTCTCAGACATCTCACTATTGCGCTATGATGTAAGTAACGGAAGGTATCTGGTGATCTTCCGTTTGGGAATCTATGTAAGCAAATAGCCACATGGAACATTGTATGATACGAAGTCATAAGGCATGGCACAATAAGACTCCTCTAACATCACACTCGAACTTTGGAAGAGTGTATTTCGTTGTTATGACAGCAAAACGAGAAATCGACCTTTAAAGGCAGCGTCCAGGCAAATCTGGGCTATGGGGCTCTCACGTGTATAGTAGTTTTGGGGCCCTAACTAAGCCACTGCCCAACCGCCAGATCAGGTAGTGCACTAATGGCTGAGATATTCCCCTCAAAACTGGACCCCGCGATCGTATTTCGCATGGATTCATGGCGCAAAGCATGGATCCTGGCGCGAAACTGCCATGAACCCATGCGAACATGATCGCGGGGTCCAGTTTCGAGGGGAATATCTCAGCCGTTAGAGCACTACCTGCGCTGCCGCTTGGGCAGTGCCTTAGTTAGGGCCCCAAAAGTACTTTCCACGTAAAATCCCCATAGGTCCAGATTTGCCTGGACGCTGCCTTTAAGCTTGTCGAGGAAACTTTTTCTTCATTTCCTTCTCAATTCTCCACCAGAAGTCGAGAAAGGGTCTCGCATGCGGTTTGACCTACTCTTCCTCACCCTCGTTCATTTTTTAGTTCCTTTCACTCATATCTCACCTTTTCGGTTCAGGTTTCAGGGATAGAGGGTCTACGGAAAGAGGTGACTCTAAAGGTATAGAACCAATGATTCGCTTTCTTTTACCTACAAAATTTTCTCTATTTATAGTAGTAGAATTGCGCTACGCATCTGGTCACTCTGCAACACAAATTTTGAAAAAAGTGTCACTAAAAGACAATGTGCAATATCTATTTTCTGATAGATTTGCGAGATCAAAGGTTCAAAAAACTGTACTATGCTGTGCTTTTTTGTAGTACAATGTAGTATGTGACCGTGCTTGTCTGGGGTAAAATGTGATAAAAAAAACTCTGAAAAACTGATGTTTCTTTTGAAGAACACCTAACAATTTATTTCTTTTCAAGAACTCCTAACAATTTACAAGAATGGGCAAAGTACGTTGGGACATAAATTATGTCTTTCAGCCACTATCGTTATTTTTGAGTTTATTACTTTATCAAATCGACTGAAAAGTCGCCTTAGGTTTTGTTTAATGAAAGAGTTGTTGGAAGTGTTGGCAGTTATATCAGTTATCTTCGGACAAGTAATTTGCGAATTGGATAAACTTAAAATCCTCTAAACTAACTGCTAACTGAAAATAGAAGCACCAAAGTTCCTCATCTACAAATATAAACTTCCATATGGGTTATAGTTATGACGTTAGTTTGAACCAGAAAACAAAGGAAGGGATACTAAATTTCAACCAAAACTCAAAATCTCTCAGAACAAAGACAGTTTATGTTTGTTATTCTACTCAAACTTCCTTGTATATATACAAAATTGAGTCTTTATGTTCTCTTCATGGATACCCTAAATTAGTCATTCGAAAGTTATTTTGAGATTGTTATGCTGTGACGTGATTGTCGATTCATGTACTCATTCGCTGACTGACATATGTGACACTATTTTAAGAAACGAAATTGCGTAAGAACTACGAATAAGAGCGTTTCTTTCGTTTATTGCTTGTATACAGATAGTTAGGGCTATTTATGTACTAAGGCCCTATCTTGTTACGAAAATAATAACAATTCGTATTCCATATTCCGCTTTCGTCACCAATTTTTCGGAAAGATATTTATAGTCCCATTTGCATACGGAGTATTATGTAACCAAGTACCGACATTATATTATAGATGTTCGATGATGTGTAAAGTACTGCTTTTATACTTTGCAACTCATAACTTTCTATTTGCAGTCGGAAAGCAGCAGTTCTGCTCAGCTGATTAGCCAGACTTCTGGCGAGGTCTCCATCGGTGATGTGGACCGCGAAGTGCTTACGGATTCCATAGTGAAGTGCTGTGCACTTGATCTCATTGACCCGGACATTTTCACGGTAAGTTGAAAGGTTGAAATCATGGCAGACTCTACCTCATTTCTGTAATGTTTTACGATTGAAATGCGCTTAAGTTGTGTCCATGTTCCCCAGCAACTTTTGTTTGTGCAAGACGGCCAAATTTATCCTTTTGTTTGTTACAGTACCCAAAGATGCGAACGTAGTAAATAGCAATGCTCAACTCATAAGAGGGAAGCTTAAAAATACAATAGAAGTGTTTATGTTATGTTGCTTTATGTCACTTCTTCAATTGTCGTTTCCGAACTCATTCATTCCCGTTTCTTCCCTGCTGGAAACATTTTCAACTATCACATCAAAAAGTGCTTTTTGGAGATTGTCAAAGCATTGCACACCAATTTTGCCGTCCACAGTTGGTACCGAAATTTTCGCCTTCATTGGTATTGCTATGCCTTGATTTTCTTAACACTTTGGAGTTTCAAAGTATATATCCAAAAAAGCTGACGATGAAACCAAGATAACGTCTATAACTCGCTGTACAACTACGATTACGGTATAAGCAGTAAGCAAACGATAAAATATAGAATCTTCGTATTGAAACATCGCTACTTATTAATCTTGTACAGAGAAATAATCGTTTTAGGGTAAAGGATTTCGCACTTTACTTGATCGTATGTGGCAACTGTCGAAACGTTCCGGCACTTCACCCCATGACATCTTCCCTGACACGCAGATGTTGCAATCTGTAAGTGAAATTTTCCAGAATATTCAGTTAATCAGAAGAAGTACTACAGTACGATGTGACTTTGCTGAGAGATGTTTGGACCAAGTATGGTCATCAAGGTGTTACAGTAGAGTTTTGAGCATTTGCTCTGGAACGCCTTGATGTGTACAGAGTAACCAATTGCTGTACAGCTTTCACAAATTTCCAATGGATATTAGGTCTGGGTGTTTAGAGAGGCTTACGTCAAGTTCAGTTTCAGTTATAGCGACTACCTACATTCAGTCTGTTTTTAGGCACTGCAAACGAACCTACGATTTTGCATGGAAGACCTGAAAAACGAGCTTTCGCGGACATCACAGGGTGTCTGCTTGGCGATCGAATCGCTCTCTTACTGTGACAAGGTAAATACACTTCTTTTCTTTTTTCATTTTATTTCTCAGCTCTAAATCAAATGTAGCTTATCTAGCTTTTCGTAGTGGTCAGGAAGTCGTGCATTTGCATAAATATTACTAGCGATATGTTTAGTATATAGCTACGTTTTCGCTGATGTCACTGAACTACTTTGAGTTGTTTTCAAAAAAGTAACACTTTTCTTGAAAATGTGGTGGGCGAGAATTTGGTTGACGAGCTAAGCCATAGCTAGATGCATTCCATAACAACAATCTCCAACATGCTAATTGCAAACGTCCATCAGTCAGCGTTTTCAATTGCTATCACCAGTTTAGATTGGAAGCTTTCTACAATCATCAGTTTCATCTAGCTCAGCATTAATTTCACATTGTTTTTGCTGACTTATTCTTAGGCGCAATGCATAAATTCGATAGATTTCATCACTTATTTTGGCGATTTTCAAAGTTTTGCAACAAAATGAACTTTTGTATTTGTAACCAACTATGCTTGAGCTTTATCACATATCACCCCATGTTACTCATTGATTTATTTGAAGGTTTTGGATTATTTGTAGATGGTTAATTTATACCTGAATGAATTGCTGCTGTTTTGTGAAATTCTCACATAATTCTTTTACTTGTTGAATGGCTTATTTTGCTTATGCCTTCGTCCATAACCGGCAAAATTATTCCCCAAACATGCATTAGACAAATCTCTGCTGTTCTGTGTTGCACTTCATTTTGTAAAGATCAGAAAGGCACTCTGAAAGGAAAAAGCTTTCTCAAAATCCTAGTAGTAAAATTTTGTCCAGTTGACGATGGAATATCCTGCCCTACTTTCGTTTTTTTAAAGTTGGGGGTGCAAATCTAGCGGACATGTTAAAAGAATCGATGTGTGATTATGTTTCTTAATTTGAAATTTGATTACGGTTCTTTCAAATTTCATGACACAACTCTATCTATCTACCACTTCCTTGGTATTCAAGGAAGAAACAAATATTGAAGTATCTTACAGATAAAAAAGATCATCATTATGTGGAAGAATATAGCATTTTAAGATGCACCTTGAGATTACGAATGTTGCTGCCCATCTTGTTTGTTCATAGAGTCGCTGTTCTTACCTTAAGTGCTTCAGGAATTCAAGGTAGTCCATGGTTCCCGCATCAGTCATGACTGGAAGTGGCGCAGCAATGTTCTCGGGTAAGAATAATATGTATTTGAAACTATTCTATCCATCGTATTTGGTGTTATCTAAAAGTGGACTCTATCGTGATTACTGCACAATTTTGCTTACTAACTAGGCGTTTGATCTTCATTCTACATTCATCTTTTTCCTTCGGCTTTACTCTTCGTTTCAGAGTCTTCAAAGCACGAGAAAATCAATCTTTGGCTGAAATTGTGAATGTCGTTGTACATAACTACGAACTAGACAGAAATCTGCTGCGAATCACCTGCAGCAAAAGCGGTGAAGAATTCGCACCAGCCAAAGCGTTTCCAGATCTCAAGGAAAAATTAAGAGAAGTGAGTTTGGCTAAGTGCATTTCTCATATGTTCAATGATTTTTTACATAGTTCAGGTGTTGCATACAGTGCTGTCGTCTTGCTCTGTTCCCGTCCTCCAGACAATACAGATTGTAGATCGGATTATGAAAGCGTTTGCTGAGTCGGACGTTCGACCACCATTTCCGCTACGTTGCTGCGGCGAAGATATTTTCAACATCTATTCTCTCCTGAGAGATTTCAACTATCATTATCATACTATTGGCGAGATTATTCAGTCCAAGCTTCAGAGTGAGTTTATAATATCGAGTGCCTCGAATACTATGGATGAAGTCTAAGATTCTAGTCCTACAACCCTGCTTCGCTAGTTTGAATGCTGATCATCTTCGCGAACTGGAAGAGTTCTTAGGTCCCTTCCAAGAGACGTTCGAATCACTAGCACAAGAGCAGCCAAACTTTCACAAAGTTAGTTTTTGAATCTGTTTGGTTTGACAAGCCCAAGAATATGATTTTACAGGTGTTGCCTGAGTGGTATGCTCTTATGCATGAGTGTCATCCATCTTCTGAAGAGATATCACCACTTCTGAAGGAACTAAAAACGGTAAAGCTTTATATGACTAGCAGCTTTTCCCGAATAATTTGCATTACCATTCATTACGTTCGAGGAGGTTGTAAATGACTGACTAAGATCTCTTGTTATACGCGCATCTTTTCATCTTCAAAAAATAGACAGAGTTGACCTTGTAACGCCTGTAAGCTTGTTTAACGAAATCAAAAAACATAAATGAAATGGTTTCTGGTTTTCTAGTGATGGCAACATTAGCATTTAAATCTAAATCTCGCTAACCATACTGTGTATACATATTTTGAGAAACCTGCCACGTATTAGGTTGTCTCATAATTAATACACTTTCTCTAACCTTTCTTCGAAAAAGCTGTCAAAACCCTTTTCCTCCAAAACCTTCATAGTGTCTGAAGGCTCTACTCTTCTTGTTCTTCTTTGGTTTCTTATATATGCTTTTGTTCTCGCAGATCTTTGTTCCAACGAAGTTCTACATCTTCAAAGCCAAGGACTAAAACTTGAAATTAATTCCTTTCATTCTCCTTGCTCTAAATCCATGAAAATTAGTTGAGTTTTCTTCGAAAAGAAAATGAATAACGATTGCAATGCTTTGTGCTACAAAACGCTTGTCAATATTAGATTTTTGAAAAATTCTGAGCCGAGAAATCTTGTCTCAAACTTGGCTGGTCGCTGAGACCCATCTATGCAGCATAAAAAACCCAGGCAGAAAAGCGACTGTACAAATTTCGCTACGTATACTAGAGTGAACCTAGTACAACTAATGCTAAGAAAACTGCAGCATTTTCTCGTCAATTCGAGGAGAAAAATTTTTAAAAAAATCCTAAAAAGGCAGTTTTTTGGGGTTTCCAAAAAGCTAAAAAAGTGGGTACTATTGATTTTTTTTTTGCGAAATGTTCTCATAAAAAATGCCGTAAAATCCAAACTTCACTCTATTGCACAACCGACCATCGGCTTCAGGAATTATTCGGGCCAAACAATCTCAGCGTGCCTATGATCCAACAAAAGCATGCGTTATATAGCCAGAGGTTTGCTGTTTGCAGTGATTTTATAGCGCTTGAAAAGATGGTTCCGGAAAAGAAATCTCTTTATTAGAAGTTGAAATTTAAAAAACGTGCATTATATGAGAAGCCTGAATTTTCTTGATGCCTGCCGAAAATAGTAAGAAACACCGAAAATCTTGTGTATGTCTCTTTAGCCGACCAAGTTCAGGGGTTATCAGTTGCGGTGTCGGGTACAACAGCAACTCCACTTCCGCGCGGGATTCTGCACCTCTTCCCCCGAACATGATCTCTAATCACATTCAGTCGATTGAGGCTCCGCCATTCCCACGCTCGCGGTGGGAAAATGATCAAAGAGCATGTCCGCGAAAAAGGTGCAGAGTCCAGGCGAAGCAGCCGCGCGAGAGGGGAGATGCTGGTGCTCCCGACACTACAGTTGTTAAGCCCTGTAATAAGTTCCGCATTTTACATGATGCGTCTGTAGTGTGCAACTTCACAAATGCGCTATGTAGTGTCTCGAGTGTTTCCTCCTGCTCAAATATAAATGTTCCAAATTTAGAAAGCGAGCGAACTTCTCGTACGTGAGCAGTCGACAACAATTACCGTCGAGCATCGGATAGCTGCGATACTCAATCCCAGACATAACAGGAAGCTGAGCTTGATTTGCACTGATCACGAAAGGTAGGTTACGGTACGGTCCGATATAACATGATACCTCGAGACAGGGACTATATGATGATAGTTCTTTTGGCCAGAACAATTTTTGTTGACTCGAAAGATTCCGTTACCAATCTCGCAGCAGTGTTTTAAGGTCACAAGCTTGTGAACGAATACGTGCGTTGTGTGGAATACGTACTCAACGGGAACCGCTTAGTCGCGACAGTTCGTTCGAGGGTGAGCCACATCGAAAAAGGCGACTCTTTCTAAACTCATTAGAAGATGATCCAGTTGGCGATGACGAATTAGAATGCTACTTGAGGTCGCAATATCCGGCACAGCAAACAAGGTATCTTATTTTTCAAAGATTGAATCACGACAAGATTGCTCATATCCTTAATCACAGAGACGTTGTTTCATTCTGGAGCACAGTCGGCCAAGCACAGTTCCCATCCTTAGCTTCACTGGCACGGCGCATCTTATCAGTTCCAGCATTAGCGCCAAAAACCAACTTCGAAGTGAGGCATGCCAGTGTTCAACCAGAACAGCTCCACACTTTTCTCATGCTAAGGTCGATGTTTGACACAGAAAGAGAGGAGTAGACTGCTGTAAAAGCCCTTGATACTGCCTTGTTAGTTTCCAGTAGATCGACAAAGCCTTGTGCCATAATCCTAACCTAGCACACTTTCAGAATTTCATCTTTATTATAGTCAGGAATTCGCTATCGTGTGCTTTGTATCCTTACCGGTTCATCGAAAACATGTATCATTCATTGAAGTTTATATCTATCGCTACGACATTGTGATTTTAGGGGCTATCGAAAGCTTAGTTCTTTGTTTCCTCTTAACAACTTATTGCAATACTTACAATACTTTTCATCACACTTCTCAGTCAGCACCAGCACCAGGGCTTGTATTGTTGTTTGTCAGGGATTTGCTAAGTTCGTAATTGGCCAGTTGGCAAAGAGCCAAATTTAGGCTGGCGTTACCGTTTGAGTTTAGATTTCTCTATGTTATTTGACATCGTGATACGTGTATCTTGGGAGTGCTTCAGGTGAATCATGTTCAACTTTTCTCTTTGATTTGTGCACATTCTAGACGACAGTAAGCGCTCATATGAATATTTGTTGTTTAGGTACTATCGCTAGAGATTCTTTCAGAGTTGCGTATTTTCATTTACACATATTTGTTTTGCATCCCGTAATCACCAATGGCGGATCTCATTACATATCATTTTAGACATGCATTCAGATATTTTTGTGATCAGTGTTGCGATAAATTTGCAAATCTTTTCCTTGTTATTGTTTGGCTCCTCTACTTTGCTCAATATATCTTCGATGGCAGAGAAAGAGCCTGATTGAAGGTTGTTTGAGTCTCTGCCTACAGTCTGCCCCAATCGGGATCAGGCCGAACCGTCGGCTGAATTTGCGCGCTCGCAGCGCTAGGGGTTTGCGTTGCATACGCGCGCGTCGCAGAGAGTGAAGAGATTGAGGAGAGAGCAGACTAGCTAGACGCAGAAGTTGCGCGAAACCCTCGCGACGCGCACTCCCGCCAAGCCAATTTTGGCCTGGTTAGGACTGGGACAGACTGTACACAACAAGCAAAGATTGTATCTAAAAAAGATGTAAATCACCAGCAGGCGCCATTGTTGGAAAAGGACGACCCTGAATTAGATGCAATTTCCTTTCGAAAATCTGACTTGCAGGTGCAAGTCAGACTTTCGAAAGGAAATTGGTGCACCGGATTGAGGTTTTGGGAAGGCGCCAAAACTGAAACTCTTCAAACATTGTTTTGAAAGGCCAATAAAAAGAAATACAATAAAAAAGGATTTCCTTTGTTCCGAAGATAACCTGCACATCAGCCAACCGTCTTTCAAAACGTTTTCTAGTATACTGCCCGTTATGTTGTTTATGTTTCTGCGACATCGTCCAAGCTCGAGAAAACTGGTCGCGATTTTATGAAAAGCACTATGAAGAAATGCAGTTTTTTGCGCTTGATGCCATATTTTCGATCGATAAAGTGAGGATGACATTGTCCACAGTATAGGCGAAGCGCTTCAAAAGAATTTGATCGGAGACTAAATTGAACACGCCCAAAACAACGTCTTTTCATTTTCTGTTTGGATAGAAAGTAGCGACATTGTCATTGTATAGGAAGCTATAGCTTTGAAACGATGTAAGGTTTGCCAGGATTGAATTTGAGACAAGGGTGGAAAGGTATAAGATCCAAATGATTCTTACAATTAGACGTCGTGGGGGAAAGCGAAGCGCTCGCATATAGTGGAGACACAGCTAAGCAAACAAAGGGCAGAAATGGCAGGTCATTCAGTTCTGCTGAAGGTTCCCGCAGTTTTTTACGGAAACCTACAACATTATACTTCGCTATATTTGCCATGAGACTATCAAAAGAGCACAACGTCGCCATAGCTTTGTAACTTGATAAAGCCGCATTTTTTGTGCCGCTCTTTGCGCTCTTCAAGCGCAGTTTCTGGATTCTACTGCACTCCCTCAGTTTTCATTCGTTCCTAGAACTGACGGTGATCCAAGAATCGACTGTGCAGGAGACATTTGCTTATTTTTGTACTTAAAAATCTACTTTTAAAACTAAAAGGCAATCAAGATATCTGATGTGCTTATAAACTTAGTATCTACCGGGCTTCTCCTGATTTCTTTCTTCTTTCGTAAAGTTACGTTTCCTTCGTCTTTCAGAGCGAAAGCCACTAGAGCTAATATAAAGAAAAAACAATTTTATATATGTTCGTCTCCGTTTCGTCCCTTTCCTTAGACGGAGTATTGAGTTCTAGACCCTCTCCGGGACTCTTCAGTAAGGAGAGAGGGTCTAGTTTGATTTTGAGAAAATTTTTTTATAAAAAATTGTAAAACTCAACTTCTATACTTCATTTGTCGTCCAGTTCTTCTTTGTGTCGCATGATCTTCTGTGTTGCAAAGTAAGAATGGACTTGTCTTGACTTGTTTATTCAGATTGTGTTATCATTTGTGTTGAATATATCATTTATACTTCGTTTCATATATCTTGGTTGATTATAAATTTTACTGATATTTTATAATCTATTATATTTTTTACTTTGAAATTTTTATGAATTTGTTATTGAATATATTATATTTATATAGTATGAATCTATTTCTATTTAGGCATTTGAAAATTGAGGATGATATTGTATTAATGTCATATTCATTTTCAAGGAGTATATCTCTAAGTTGCGAGACTTTTTGTAGAAAATCGTTTAAGTATGTGCATGTTCTTGCTATTCTATGAGTTTCTGTATATATGATTGCCTTTTTAATATTGAATGAGATACTAGATGTAGAATGTATGGATCTTTTAACGTTAAAATCAAAGCAATTTTATTATACAATTTTGTAATCAATCTATTGTTTATTATTTCAGTATTCAAATCGAGATAGTTACAGCTTTGGGTATTTAAGTGTGTAGCTTCTATTTGAAGTTTATAGTCGTAAATCTTTTCGACCAAGTTATGGATAGTATTTTCTTCCATGTTATGGATAAGTAATAGATCATCCATATATCTATATGGTATTATTTGGGAATTGTTCTTGATATTTTCAATGGAATACTTATATTCGTACCAGGAAAGTGTAAGATCTGCTAATAATGGGCTAAAGTTACCACCTTGAGGAACTCCAACTTTTTGTTTTAAGGTATAAATGCTAAAGCGACAGAAACTATTATTTATTTATTTATTTATTTATTTAAAATACACCAAAAGTGTGCCAAAAAGAACACAAGTAATCAATAGCAGGAAATATTATCACACGAAATGTTACACAGAGTTCATGATAGACAGGTGAGGCAGGTAAAATGCTCCGCCCGAAGTGCAGGTCGTTCTTCTTCTTCTGTGGCGAGTATTCCTCTGCCGAAATCTTGTTCCCTTACCCGGACGCGTTGGATGACCGCACTTACCAGGGCTGGCTGACCACTTAACCCTTTGCGGACGAATCCGCCAGGGACCCTGGGCGAGCGAGAAGGGGGGATTTCAAGGAAGAGGGGCGCGCCAGCTTCAGTTTCCTCAAACGGCTGAGCGAAGAGGCTGCAAACCTGTCTGGATATCTTAGAAGAACGATAGAAATGATTTCGTCAACGCTGTAGTCATGCCTGACAAAGGGTCAAAGAGAAAGAATTTCTTTTGCTTTGTTTTTCTTTTGGCATGGTGTGCAAAAAACAAAAATTCCAACAGAAAAAAAGATGTGCAGTATGAATACAGCAGGCTAAACATCAGCGATTCTCAAAGTCTGCAGGACATCTATGGAAGCTAATTTTTTTCGAAACTCTGCAGAATTCTTGGACGAGATAATTTCGCATGGTAAAAGATTGAGCCATCTGGCGGAACGGCACACAAAAGAATTAAAAGCTATTGACAACTTTTTACGTCCTAACTTCCTGTAAGACAAACCGAAACCGCCAGTTCTCCCACAAGGTCTGAAAATCCAGTAATGGCTAGGACTTAGTCTTGTTTCAAGTCTAAGAATGCGAAAACATAGGACTAAGTCATTACATATGCGTCTATATTTCAGGCTATGCAATTTAAGCGTAGCCAGTCTAGTATTGTACGATGGCAGAGTTTGAGGATAATCCGGTCTGGGATAACATCTGTAGTAGAGAATTCTGGTAAATGTTTTCTGGACCTTCTCTAACTTTTCAATGTTCTTCTTTACAAATGGACTCCAGACCGGTGATGCATATTCTAAATGTGGCAAAACGTATGTCTTATAGAGCCGGACAAGGAGGACTGGATCATTGCTCTAAATGCTTCTTAGTAGAACGAACAGCGCTGACAGAGCCTTTTTAACCACTGAATCAAAGTGGAAATTAAAATTTAGCTGATCGTCTACAAAAATACCAAGATCTTTTGTATTGCTACAGCGCTCCAGGACGACTCCGTCGCAAAAAATAGTCACGAAATTCAGAGTTGCCACTTTGGATTTAAGTGCATTAACGGGAAGATCCCACTTCTTAAACCAAAAAATCATTTTTCCTATTGCAGAAGAAATCGCTGTATATGCTTCAGAGTACTCTTCCTCATTGTAGCAAAAATAGATTTTAACATCGTCAGCAAAAACTTGAATTTTGATATTTGGATGAGTTCTAAGCACAGAAGGCAACTCTGCGGTATAGGTTAAGAAGAGAAGAGGAGAAAGTATCCCTCCCTGAGCGACTCCACTATCACAGCAAAATCGCTTCGAATAACTGTTCCCAACTCGAACAGTCATGCCTCGATCATGAAGATAGGACGCAAGCCAAGACAACAATTGCCCTCGAATTCCGTAATTTTCAAGCTTGAGAAGTAATTTGGAATGATTGACTCTATCGAATGCTTTGGACAAATCAAAAAATACAACATCAACTGATTTTCCTTGATTCACCGCGCTAACCCAATCAAAGAGGGAGTCCGAGAGTGAAGCTGTAGTTGATCCTCCAGGAAGAAACCCGTTTTGGGCAGATGGAAAAACTTTATTGCTGTCTAGCCAATCGAGTAAGCGCTCCTTGACAATTTTTTCTAGAACTTTGCCGCAAGGTGCGGTTATGCTGATAGGGCGGAAATTCG